TACGCACACAAGCAGACCACTGCAGTGCTTCCGGAAATCTGGATCACAGCAAGCATACAGCAGAGGGTTTAAACAGCTGTTCACATAGCCCAGACAGATGGAGTATGGATGGGCCGCTACCAACCACTGGTCAAAACTGCAGGAAAAAGGAAGAATGCCCAGTTCCACCATAGTGGATAGTGTCTTATTGGTGTGGAAGGGAAGCCAGCAGAGGAAGAAGGCCAGCACAAGGGTGATGATGATCCGGAGGAGCCTGCGTTGGTGCGTATAATCAGGACGCGGGCCTAGGCTGAAGTGTCGGGAAAGAAGCCACCCTAGCCAGCCATAGCAGAGCAGGAGCACTACAAGAGGTAACAGGAAGCCAAGCAGAGTTGATTTTAACCCCAAAGCTGCTGACCACATCAGCTCTGCCTGCTCCGAAGCTGCTGGGTCCAGCTCACTTGAGATCAAGCTGGAGTAGTCCATGTCACATAAGCAGGAGGACACATGTCCGTCCTGCCCATCGCCATCATCTCCCTCTTCCAAATCCACCTCCCTAACAGTCCGCAGAAGCAGAGCAGGAAGTGCCAGGATTCCAGCCGCCAGCCACATGCTACCCACAATCTACTTGGCGCAAGTGTTTGACCGTCCCTGCTTTGAGCTGCTGCCACACTTTTGTGTGATGACGCAGTAACGCTCCACGCTGAGCCCAGTCAGAGAAAACATGCTCGCATACATGTTCAGTGCCACAATGTAACTGCTCACCTGACACAGAATATGGCCAAAGGGCCAGTGGTAGCCCAGTGCTGTGTATGCCGCCCACAATGGCAGGATCATAACGAAGGCCAGGTCAGCCAATGCTAGACTGGCTATTAAAGACTCTGTTACTGTACGAGAAGATATAGCGGAGGGATAAGGAGGGGGATCGGGGGTCTGGGAAGATTTGGAACCGCTTCCAATCCTCCCGCGGCCTCTCGCTCAGCGGTCCATGTACACCCATAGCACCAAGCCATTACCCACGGAGCCCACGACAAACGCCAGGAGGTACACGCTCGGAATCAGCTCCCAGGTTGCAGACCATTCTCTGTAGTCACATGAGGGAAAGGGCAAGGGTGAAGGGAAGGACAGAGACCCGGACATCTGAGAGCCACACACTTGCACCTAGTGCAGACAGCAAGTAGATGATATGAGCAGGAAAGAGAACTGAGAGTTTCTTTATAAGGGCTTGAGAGGGGAAGAATGGTTTGGAAGAAGAATGATGATGGGAATACTTGTCTTTCCCCTGGATTCTATATTTGGGAGTTTCCCAAATATTCTATAGTTGGAAGAGTCAGTGACACTTCCTTCCTCCTCTGTCCTCGTCAATTTCTGTGGGATATCACAGACAAAAGATAAAAGGTTATTGGAAGCTGTGCATTAAAAACAGATGAGAAAGAACTTCTCATAATTTCTGGTTGTATCATATACATTCTCAACCCCTAAATAACCAGCTTATACACTGCCTGGCCAAAAACAGTTGCACCTGCTTTTGCTGGATCGCCTTCAGCTTTCGCTCTGCATTCGTTGTGGCATTGTTTCAACAATTATTTCCATCAAGGGTTACATAAATTTTTGGCTGAGATCTTGTTGACAGTAGGAGAATCCAACCACTCTGTTAAGTCTAATTCAGTATACCCCAGAGACTTTCAGTAGGGTTAAAGTCTCTTCTCATGATTTCTCTTTCACAATTTGAGCCTGATGAATCTTGACATTGTCGACTTGGAATATGGCCATAGGATACTTATTCTGATGTGGTTGTTTAACAAATATCATCAGGTAGGGTTAAAATAACTTGTCAAACACATAACATGCCAGAATTGGAAGTATTTGCTTATTTAAATACAAACAGTGAATTTTCTTTTTTTTACCTGGCAGAGTATGTTATACTTGGACATAGATAATCCACATCAGTAAATACATGCACTTCCAGTAATAATTCTGCAATAAAAAATAAATAAAAGTAAAGTAATTGCATCTCATTCTCTCTTTTGTGTATTAATCTAGTGATGCACATACTACATATACAAGAAAAACTAATAAAATCTATCCCACAAAAGCAATGCTTCTCTATCATGCCTCAGGTGGACATCCACCATGAACCAAATTATCTCATACCTGTTTTTCTTAAGAGTTTGCCTCTGCTTCTGTTAATACATGTGCCCAGTGTTCTCTTCTCTGTGGTTGGTCTCTCTCTGTTTTTAGATCTTTTAAAAGAAGGACACAATTTACTATGTATCCATGGTTTTCTCTTGATATCTGTCGACTTCTTCCCTCTCTCAGAATCGAATGCTTATTTCTGTGTCTCACCTACTGGGAAGTGTCTGCTCTTTAAAGACCATCTCCTCTTTGTGTCCTTTCCCTTTTCTGTTCTGTCCTCCTCTCTCATAGGACCACCCTGTAGCAGTTTTGTGAGATCTCCAAACAGTCCTTCTGCTCTTTAACAGACTGAGTAAACTGAGTAAACCTCAGGCTTGAAAGAAGCTTTACATAACAATGTCTTTCACTGTATCAAACAGCATACCTCTGGCCAACACTACCACTTCATACACAAGGTTGTATTAGCAAATATAATATGCATTCTTACAAATAATGGGTTACTTGAAACTTTGGGAGAAGTTCGAAGAATACAATCACAGAGGAACTTATATAGGAGCTAACTACAAGTTTATAATTTTCTAAGTCTTATTTCTGACTGCTTCTTCCAAAATTGGTCTGGACAAGAGATTTTGGTATGGTGGGTTGCAGAAAATAAACAATAAACTTGCCATATCAAACATGGCAAAATTAACGTGAAATGTGATGTTCATATATTTGGAAACATATCTTAGATTATAACAGATTATCTTATAAATAGTCAGTCTCACATTATAATATACAATTATGTGAACTGTTCATCTGCCTCTGTTTAACTAATACATTTATTGTGTTGCTTGTATTTGGTCTCAGCTGCATGTCTGAGGTCCAGTTTGAACTATTTGAGTCTTGTGTTGTTTAAACGCTTCTCAATCTCAGGGATTCCCTATTGTGGGCTTTGTGTGTTTTTGCATGTTGACACTCTCAATCAGAATGAAAAAGGGAAAGTCTTTTGTCTTGAAGAAAATCTTGACAGAGTCAACAGGACAGCTATTTATGATGCAACGCAATGACACACAACAAATATTTAAAAATGTAACTTGTATCTCAAACTAGTAATGAATATGTGCAGAGTACAATAGTCAGGAGATGAGACGTTGCTCAGAGAGACTTTTATTAGCAGTGGAAGAAGCAGATGAAATTTCCTGTTTGCATATCTATTTGAACTTGTCTAGACCAATTATTTAATAAAACAAAAAAACACTGAGCCAGTGGGAGGCCCACCCTAAAGATTTTGTCCTGTGATGGTCCTGGTTACTGCATAACATATACAGGTATATGTAGAATATACACTTCACACTAGCCACTCAGTGCCAGAGAGATGTTCACAGATTTTTCTCTCTTGTTCCCAATTGATCTCAGCTGTACAAATAGTGAGGGTCTATAAAAAGGTTGTGAGGTCATATGTATGACATGAGTTAAACACTCTGTTTGCAGAGCACTGGGTCAAACTATAAATTGTACATAAGCAGAACTATGTACCATCTCTTGCATCAGTGTCCAATAACTCCAACCAGAAAATAACTGATAGACCATATTTATGCATTTTAGAGCCATGCATAACTGGAGATGTACAGACATTAAGTGGTACAAGATAAGTTCTTATTTTAAAAATAGCATGCAATATAAATAATTGTGTATATCCAATTCTTGTACTTACTGTAACCTACTTTATATTTGCATGCCTTTAATTCTATATGTATTAGAAAATATTAAGCATTCCTCAAAATGAATTTGATATTTGCAATGCCCTCAGCATGAATTCAGATCTTTTATGTTTGATCATTTTTTCACCATCAAAATGCAACAATCCATTATAAAATGAAACATGCCCATAAAAAAAGTGTTTAGAAAAATTAGAAAAAGGAAATATTTGAAATTGCAGCGACGAATCTATAGAGTTTGATTAAATCTCTTAAGAGATTTGCCTAAATCTGAATGTAACAACAGTTGCAGATACATAATGATACCCAAACAATACCCAACACACTATTCATATTTAACATACAGTATCCCTTTTCTTATTCACATTGATCTGCATAATTACATCTGTAGTTGAAATATATATACATATTCACATATTTAATATTTTTATTATCTTTTATTATCAGTCTGGGCAGACATTCCACAAATAAGGAATAGTTTATGTCACTTTTAAAGCAATAAAGGGAATGGCCAAAAAACATTTATTTACGTTATTTTTACAGAGAACTATTAATTATATTAAAGTGTTTAGAAAAATTAGAAAAAGGAAATATTTGAAATTGCAGCATATTCTGTGAGACGAATCTATAGAGTTTGATTAAATCTCTTAAGAGATTTGCCTAAATCTGAATGTAACAACAGTTGCAGATACATAATGATACCCAAACAATACCCAACACACTATTCATATTTAACATACAGTATCCCTTTTCTTATTCACATTGATCTGCATAATTACATCTGTAGTTGAAATATATATACATATTCACATATTTAATATTTTTATTATCTTTTATTATCAGTCTGGGCAGACATTCCACAAATAAGGAATAGTTTATGTCACTTTTAAAGCAATAAAGGGAATGGCCAAAAAACATTTATTTACGTTATTTTTACAGAGAACTATTAATTATATTAATTAACTCCAGAAAAAAAATCCTGAAACAAAGCACATAAATAATAGTTATAAATAATGGGGTGCTGCAGTGATACTTGTTAGTCATGGCTGTTAAAAGACCCTATGGCTGAATCTTTTTTACTATGGGGTTTTCAAATGGTTAAGTAATGTGGTTAACATTAGCTGAAGAGACATCACATTTTGTTTTACAACATAAATTACACACTAAACAGCTCCAGCATAGTAAGTTGCCAATAAACAGCTATAAGGAATCATTGTAAATATTAAACAGAATTCTCAAACTCTCAATTTGCATAAAACTGCATGTTCCTTTTATTGGTCACATAAAGGTTCAGTAAGTTTCGCTGGCTATAGTGGTAACAAAAAGCTAATCAGCACACTGAAAAGACTACATGTCTACATATTGCACGCAATGTTTTTCAAGAGATTTTAAGTTTTAAAAGAGACATTTGTAAACAAGGCAGAGGAAAAGCAGGTGTAAAGGGTTTTTATGAAAATGACGATGGTATGATACATTAACCCTTTGAAAATGTCAGCATCCCTCGTAACCCACTCACTCGTACCACTTTTCTGGGTAACAGGTTTAGCCGTGAAAGAGTACACATACATAAAGCAGCACTGAATACAATAAATTATAATCAGATGGTTTCCCTTTCACTATTAAGTGCAAAACTAAAAAAAAATACAAGCTTTAGCTTACAAGCTTTAGCAGTGAGCACACACAGTTTTAACGTACAGTTGAGATTTAAGCTGTGAATGCTTCTTTGACCACTTAACTCAAGATATAGAAGATCTCTGCATTCTCACTGCATGATACCACTACCAGCTTTACGAGGAACAATGCAGAAGCGTTTTAGAGAACACCCCACCAGAAGAGTGCTAGTGAGAGCAGTATTCCCAGCACAGAGCGGCTGGACACGGACACAGGTGCTGTGTTACACAGGTCAGTGGTACAGCAGGAGAACTTGAAGCTGGACATTTTGGGAAATTTCTCACCGATTGCGTCGTAGTTACAATCGGAGTACTTTATACACTGCCTGTATGTGTCACCACCTAGAAGAAAAGGGGGTTAACAGAGAGATATGTCATGCAAAGTCAAAGGGTCATGGAAATGGTTTGTTAGAATACAGAAAGACACTATTTTCTAAGAATGAGTGAGCTGGCACCTCTCTCGTAGACGGACACACAGGCATCATCATAGTAGCAGTTTCGAATTTTAGAGCATGTGCCCGTGTAGTCCTTACAACTGTAACATTTAATGGCAGAGCCTTAAAAGACAAAGAAAGAGATAAATTGTTTTGCAAGAATAGTAATGCAAAATATGACAAAAACACATCTTTTGCATGGTGCAAACATACCAAGCCCCACCAGAGCCAGAACGAACACCACACACACTCCAACAGAAGCTTTCATAATGCCTTCGGTTTACCAGTCTAATCCTGATAAAGAGAGAGGGAGAGGAATCTGAGTAACATACAATTTGAATTTGTCTGAATGTGACTGCATGATATGTTCATTCAAAATTTAGATTTAAAAATCAAATTCATCCAAACTTTCATTCATAAATTTGTAGACTGATCCCAAACTTTAGACTTGTAACAGGTTAATGCATAAACACCAAGCCTGTAGTTGCTTCTTACCATCAGTTTGTTCCGAAACGGTGTGACTTTCTTTCTTCTGTGGAACATAATGGTGTTTGGTGAGTCAACCATCACCAAAACTGTTTGGTTACCATTATTCTTCAAAAAATTGTATGTATGTATGTATTTATTTGTTTATTCGTTTGTTTGTACCATAGAAGTAACAGAATCACACCGGTTTGGAACCACATGATGAGGAGCATATGAAGACAATTTTGACATTTTTTCAAAAGATTAACTAACATAATTATAAGAGAAAGAATTGTGGGTCATCTAAAGAGTACATAGATTTGCTGAGATGCATCCCGTTTTGACCGATTATCTGGCCTGTATTAAGCCATCTACTACTATTATTACTGCAACTACGACCACAACTATTATTGT